TTGTTTTTCAGCCTGCTCGTTCAATCACGTGATTTGTTTAGACTTGTTCGTGGTTAAATGAAACAACGTTGTTGTATTTTGTTTGTTTCAAAGCGTTTAAAACCTAAACTCGAGTCGAAGCCTAATTAGTAATGTTTATCATTTCAAAAACGTGTATCCAGGTGCAGCAGTAATTTCACCGAGTTTAACTGTCGTGTTTGTGGTCCAGCATGTAACACAGTTCTTCAGGTGCAGCAGTAATTTCACCGAGTTAACTGTCGTGTTTGTGGTCCAGCATGTAACACAGTTCTTCAGGGAGAGAGAGAGAGAGAGAGAGAGAGAGAGAGAGAGAGAGAGAGAGAGAGTAGTAGAGAGAGAGGAGAGAGAGAGAGAGAGAGAGAGAGAGATAGTAGAGAGAGAGAGAAAGAGATATAAGAGAGAGAGAAAGAGAGATCTACTTTGGATGGAGAGCTTTTAAATCTTTTCATTTCTTTGATGAACGTCGCTACCCAAGGGCTACCGGTTCTAGTAGTTCCTAATCTTGAAGTGATAGACGAGAGGGAAGGCAGCTACTCAACACAACCCGCCGCCAGCTCTTGGGATACCAACGAACAATGGGATTGATCGTCACACTACGACGCCTCTACGGCTGAAAGGCAAGAATGTTCGGAGATGTGGTTCGAACCAGTGATCCGTAGATTGCGAGTCGAGCGCTTTAACCACCAGGCCATGTCAGTCCTCAAATCTATTCATGTACAGAACGAGGAGTCACACTCGCGATTTTTTTTCTTCTCTCTCACTATTGAGTTCAGTTAGAGTTTCTCAAAAGATTTTCAATTCTAGTAAACTCTCTCTCTCTCTCTCTCTCTCTCTCTCTCTCTCTCTCTACACACACACACACACACACACACACACACACACACACACACACACACACACACACACACACACACACACACACACACACACACACACACACATACCATTGTCCCAAACATGAGTATGTAGAGTGAAAACAAATCAACTTTTGTGCTGTTGCACATTATGCCATCATAATGTATGGTACAATCAGTTTGATCAAGATTAAGAAACTTCACAAACATACACTTCACAGTCTATACCACCTGTTCTGACAGACCATCTGATTGATGGTGATATGGTGAAGTAGCATCTTCACCACTCCAACACTGAGAATAACTGACTGTTAAAATAACTCTCTGCACTAAGTGAATCTCTTCATTGATGCCAAAATGTGTTATCCATTACTATACCAACATATTGGCAACAGAATATGCTAAAGTGTTGACTGATGGATATGCTTTGGCCCACTTACAGAAACAGTTGTGGATAACCAGCACATATTGATTACCTTGCTCATAGGTCACTTCCCCTTTGCTTGTCACTCCAATAATCATTCCAGTGAGAAGATGGGTTGGTTATTGGTAAACAGCTGCCTTGTGTGGCACCAGTGCATTCAATCTTGCTGTGGTGAACTACAACAAACCACCTTTGTATAGAGAAGTACTGTTGCAAGGTACACGGGTAGTCAACTGTTAATGGGTCAGTTCTTACTGCTATTATTGGGTTTTCCTGTTGTGTAAAGCTAGAGGAGAGCTTCTGCCGTATGTCCTAAGGACACCAATACCATACCCAAGATATGTGACAATAATCTTCATCCTATGATTTATATGGCTTAAGCATAGTTGGAGATATGCCTTTCCTTTCACATCTAGCATGCCGTTGTTCGGCAGAATGAAATGACTGTTTCCTGGCTGAGTAGTGGCTTTACTTGGAGTGTGTGACACATGGTGGTGTTCACCAGGGTCCTTGTAATTCTAATATCAACCAGGAACTTCATTGCCCCATCATACATACATACATACAAAACCATTTGATGTGCTCTCAAGTCAGTGGCTGTACCTGACTTGGTCTCTCTGATTTTCTTGAGCCCAAGGGAAAGCTCTCTGCCAGCCTTTCTGCACTTTCTATTCAGTCAGTTGGGATGAAGGGATCTGCCTATCTTGTTGAATGGAAATGCCCTTGCAGCCTTACAACCATAGCGTATAATAGGGTCTTCTCTTCCAGCGCGACATATGGACATACACACTGGCTGCACTTGCTGTGGCACAAACTTCATAGGAGGTCCTAGAAAGCCCTGTCCATTCTCTGAAAACAAGCTTATCTGTGCTACAACACCATGATGTACATTGTTGTTGTCCTAGACCGAGACCTGAGGGTTTGAGACCTTCTAATAAATTACACAATGAAAAATAAAGCAAGAATAATAAAAAACCATATGCATTAAACAAATTTTAGTAACATCTTAATCACAAATATTTTAGATGTTAACCCCACAGTCTTTGTTTTAATGTCTCCTCCTATGACAAAAAAAATAATAAAATAATAAACAAAAAAATCAGAAAGGTCAGATAATAAAATTGAAACCAGTATTGGTTTCAGTAAATTTCTTATTATTTTTGAAGCCAAACAGGATCACAGCAGATCTCCTAGACATGTTGTATATCCGGGATAATTGCTAATGTTTGACATAAATACATGCACCAGATGAAGGTCATACAAACTTATGATTAGCATATGTGTAATGCAATGTCATAGTAGCAGTTAGTTTTGAATAGCATGTGTTATAACCATAGATTGGCATACAGGCAATATGGTGGTTAGTGATGTAAACAAAAAATAAGGGAGGCACTATGTAAACATCCTTGTAAAGTTGTAGTACCAAGGGGGGATTTACTAGTAAAACATCTTTGATGCTACACTGCACCTCATATGAACTGCTGCATAATTGATATTTAGTGCTTAATAATCCTGGATAGGTGACTGGTCTAATACTGTTCATACTTTTAAATATAGCCAGTCTTGTTTTCAAAACCTGTAAAACGTAGAGACCAAAACCTTCCAAAGGATGGTCTTGAGATCAGTCCTGGTCTAAAGACCAACAACACTGTATCATCTGTAGCTGTGTTCTTGATGGAGAATAAGTGCACATAAGAAAAGATGATGGTACTGAGATGCACAACAGCTGCTGCCATCAGTTTCCTCCTCTTTTGCAACTGGTCTGAAGTAATCATCTCAAACCTTTTTACCACAGATACTACCTTTGTTATGATTACAATATCTTGTACTCCTAGGTGATGCTTCATGGTCTTACTAAGCTAGTCTTAGTTGAACTTCTTGATGAGGATATCTGTTTGACCTGCTTACAGCATAGTAAACTTTCCCATGGAAATGATACAGTTCATCTGCAAAGGCACCCAAGTTGTCAGAAGAACCTCTCCTGTGAGCCTTAAATTCAGCCGTATGGATGGCTAGGTTTCCATGTGGTTGAATCATTGATTCAGCTCAGCTATTAGTATGTCTCAGTCTCCAGTCTGTGCCTTCATCAATTACTCGATGCATCAGGGGGCCACCAGGCAATGACACCTTAAGAAATGGTCCAGGTTTTCTTTGGCTGCCCCTTTAAACAATGGCAGAGGGGGAGTGATCTGCTTTGCCTCCACCACAAATCTCTCCCTGGTGATCTTATAGTATTCTCCAGACTGAAGAGTCCAGTATTATGGGGTGTCATTGAGTAAGCATAATCTTGGAGCTCCAAACTCGTAGCATGTTTTAGCTACTGATCCTAGAATCAGAGAAGATATACTGGTTATATCTTATCTATGGGTTCTAACAAATTCCTGGTCATCCATGGTTGTCTTGGTAACTCACCTCCCTTCTTTTCGAATGTCTGTTGCTCCACAGTTTGTTTTTCTTTTCTGTGAACTCATCCAACAATGGTATCTTGTTTCTAACTCTTAGGGCGGCTATGAACCTTTTAATGGAGAGCCTTCGTCCTATCCATAAAATTGTTGATACTTCAATTAATTTTGGTAGCTGTCATCTGCTGTAGATCTCTTGATCCTTACTTTTGAATCATTGGATAGCTACCTTTCTTCTTGAAGAAGCTCCCCACCATTTGTCAATTTCTTACATAGTGACTGGTGGATATCATCTAATAGTAGCACATCATATCTGAGTCTCAAATTTGGCAAAACCAAAATGCAGTGTACGTATTTGCACTTATGAAAAGACAGCCCCTTTCTTCAAGAGTGTGCTTCATCCCACAACTTCTTTTCTTCAATAGACTTTTATTGAACTAAACACTCTGATTATGAAATTAATTTTAGTTACAGTGGCTAAAGAAAGCCTGCCTGAAATCAACTGATAAACTTTTTTTTTTCAGTTGACAGGATTACTTCATGACCTTTTTCCCTCACATCATTGGATCCAATATTAGATTCAGTTAACATCATAACAGCCAGCAAAGCATATTAAAATGCTAATCCTTTTAATTTAAATATCATGTATTTTCAAAAATATCCTCATGGGCAGAACAGACATCACCTACTATACAGAACAAAGAAGAAAAGAAACTAGAGCAAGGTAAACTTGATGACTCTCTGGACCATGTGTTGCTGTCATTATCATGTGGAAATTAAATAACCAAAAATTTTTAAAATTTCTGTAGCTACTAAATTTGGTAGAAAACATGTGATAGTCTGTATATTACAGCCATATTTGTTTTTTCACTATTAAATTGGTTTATGACGTGAAGAAAATATCAGAATGTTAAAGTAACTAAACTTAGTATTTTTAAGTATTTTTCATCATAAATTAGTTTATAATATATTATGTGTATAACAATTGCTTTTACGCTAAAAAAAAAGAATACATGAGGATTTTGATAAATTGTTTTGAAAAAAAGTAAAGCATAACTTAGAAGGTTTGTGTATAGGTTTCTAAGACAAAATGTTTAAGTATGAAAATTTGAATTAAGGACATCTTTTTCAACTTTAGTGTCTTTTTGTTTTTTAAATTATACTTGTAGCATTTGTTTGATGATAATGCATATTTTTAAGTACATACGATTTTAGGGATATATAAATTAACATAATGTACCTATAGTGCCCTTCTTTACATTAAACTTCAGTAATAAACTTAGAAAAATATGCCATGAACAGGTGTTTCATTAAGAACTGTGACAACTCACTCTCTGAGTTTGAGGAGCCCTGGTTTCCATATTCTATTCCAAAAAATGATGCAAGTGGAGTTAAAGGATTCAGCCAGTGTTTCAGATTCCAAAAAGCAACAAGCACAGGGAATGTTTCTTGTTTAGCCACTGATTTTCGTAATACTACAGAGAAGTGTTCGGACTGGGTGTGGAACAAGGAAGAATTTCAATGGACAGCTGTGTCAGAGGTAGGCCAAACAAAAAAACATATGACATAAATGTTGGGAATTTGTGTTAAGTGTGCATCATAGTACTGTTCTAAAGTTTTAATAAAGTTTCTAAAGGTTTAATAAACCACCTTATTACACATGCATTCAGAGAAACTTGAAACCACCATACATTGAACTACAGCTTGCATGTGGAAAGCTTTGTTAGAGCTTGAATCTTTTCTCCTTTTTTTTTTAATTATAAGCTTCAACAGTACTGTAATAACCATCCAAAAAATGTTGCCACCATTATGCTTTTGTGAATATTTCTTATACAGCACTTTGTGTGAATTATAAAACTCAATTTGTCTTTGATATGTGGTAGAAAGAAGAAAGCATAATTATAACGTTATAAAATTTTCTTGAGTAAATAAAGTAGTACAATAACATATAATTTAGCTGGAGATAATGTTTACTTCAAAATTCTCATCAAACAGATTTTTTTCAAATCTTTTTATCGTTAGTTCATGCTACCAATTTTACACAAAAGGAATTAATATTAGGGCATTCTGTAAATGAATGACAATATGGCTCTGTTGTAGTTACAACAACTATATAGATGAGCTTTATATTTTTTCATCTTCTTAAAGTTAATAACTGATGATGAACGATGCAGCAACAATGACCATTTGACACATGTATGTTTAGTAACAAACATTTAATTCTTGAACATTTCAGAATATACATATTCCATCTTCAGCAAGCTATATTGAACATGGTAAATTATTTGGTACAGACATTTTATAAAGTTTAAACATTCTATAAAAAGTAATTAAAATACTGAATAAAAGTATGAAATAAATTAATAGAATCAAATAAACAGACTTAAATGTAGTTAAGTTGTGTTATTATTTAAATTCGGGAGTTCATTTATAATAGATAAACTTTATTTAATTGAAAGTTCAATATTTGATGATCCAGATGAGATGACTTTAAAATTCGTAATCAAGAAAGGGTGTTTAGTGTTTTTGCTGTGTGTGCAAATTGTCTGGAGGATTTGATAATGTTTTACCAGTTCTGCTTGATACTCCCATATGTTCTCAGGCTCTCAGGTGTAATTGGCATATAGTTTTGCCAATGTTAGTGGCATTATAGCCACCACATGTATTTATATATGATTCTGGAAAGCATAGGGGTACGTAATAGGTCTTTAGATCAGAATAGTTTTACTGAAAAAATTGTAAATTGTCTTTTTTTGATATCCAAATCAATAGATTAGATAACCACTTTACAACATCCGTTTATCTTAAAAAAAAAACAAAAAAGCAGCAACAACATATACTGGCTTACATACTCGATTCGACAGCTTTATTCCGAATTCCTTTAACCCTTTACCTGCAGTAGCCATTTTGTCTTATCGTGAGGGCAAAATCACATTTTTAATTGAAAAAATTATAGAGAACTTATCTTTTATTGGATTTAAGATTTTATTTTTGTAAATAATGGCATAACATTCAATTATTTGTACAAAATTGTATTATTTAATGGAGCTTAAAGAGGAATTTAATGAAAAAATTTAAAAATATGGTTGAGACTGTAAATAAGAAGAAATTTAAAAAAAACAAAAAAAATTTTCCTTCTACTTCAGCACTGGTCCTACCATCTATGATTGGTATCTAAACCTTTTTCTAGTCTGTTTTCTTTATAAAACAGCTTCAGGGCGTGTTGAACCTCAGTTGTAAAACTTTTAGCCAATCCTAGTCGAAGGTGCAATTTCAGTACCATGTTATTCCAATTGCTGTATTTCATGTTTGAAAAATCATAGGATGATAAGCAAAGCACATAACGAAACATTGTTCTCTGGATTTTACAATATGAAGATTGGTGGTGCTTATTATAGTAACTGCCATCTTATGTGGAGGTTGTATTTAGTATTTGCCAATAGTACTTTTCTATAAGCGTTACAAAACTTGCTTCTGGAAAAAACTGCATGGGATGTACGTAACTTTTATTTTTCTGTAGTAGCTTATGTCATGCTGCATCGTATATCTATTTATATTAATCGTTATATTGAAAAATGAACTCAAAATAGATATATTTTTTAGGAAAGAAGTTGATCCACGATTGTTAGGGTTAAGAGCTATCAAGTGGCGAGTGCAAGGTCTTTACATGAATTAGGTGTAGCACTTTGAACTGAAAGAGTTTGTGTTTTTTTTTATATTCCTTTGCATTTAAATTTATAGTTTTAAGTATGATAATTTAGCATAATTTTATATTTAGTTCATAATAATAATAATATGAATCAGTATTTAGAATGATAAACTTGTGTGATTTGTACATAATACTACTAGTACCAGTAACACATAAGAATTTTATATTTTTCCTTCTTACAATCTTTACTTTGTAGTAAGACCCCTTACTTCTGTTGTTATTGCTTTAGAATTAAAACAGTCTAACTTATATGTATAAAGTTGATTCTGATATTTTGCAAATGGTTTAAAACTCAGTGTACAAGTAACAACAATAAAACCCATATGTTGGTTGTGCAACAGACTAAATACATTCGTCTCAATAATACAGGGAAGCTATGAAAATCTCACAGTTGGGGTCTCAATACTCTGAAGAGCTTAAGTTTCTAATTACAACATAAATCTTGCCTATAATGAGAGGATGTGACCAGGACTAATCTTTTAAGTGCTGTAAAATAATTTTCTTTGTAATTTATGGTGTCTCTGTCATTTGGTAATCTCTTCTAACAGGATTTATCAAGTAACTAGGGTCAAGCAGTGTTATTCGAACCACCTGTAATGTAATCTATTGCATACATTTACTAGTAGTGGCAATTAGTTTTGTCTGTATTGTGAAACAACATACATGGACATACGTTGAAATAAACATGTTTGAAAGTTCAAAGAAATGATATTCAGGTACCGAAAAGCTTTTTTACTATCATATCTACAGTAATGTTGAAATGCGCTTGCGCTGGTCTGAACGAGAGTGACCACCAACAGGCATGATAGTTTACGCCAAATGTACAAAGTTCACGCTGCTAACCTCACGATTTATTTGGCACAGTAAACAAAAATATGGCTGCAATGAAACATAAACTTGAAATAAAAATACATTTATGAAACAAAATTAATATTTTTTACATACATATATATAAACATGAAATCCTAGTTAAAAATAAAAATACTCATTTATTGTTTAAGTTTATTTACAAATATTATTTTCGGGTCTGTATATTACTTGAAACCATAAGAAGAGTACATGATTATTAAAAAATTAAATAATAGATAAAATTTGCATTTTATGGAGGATACAATTTTTTGGGGGATTTCAAAATAATGTACTAAAACATAAAAAGTAATAAGTTCAGATCTGAACAAATATAAATATTGTAATCATTTCTTATAAATACAATTTCCTAATGTAATTTTCCAAGATATTAAAGATCATAATGCAAAATAACTAAATTTATCAAAAGTAACAGGCTTTATGTTTTTTAAATTAAACTACATGTATTTATGAAAGCTCTTATGAAGTTTCAAACAGTTTCATCCACTAGTTTTATTGTTGGAATGAAATATAGCAAGACTTGCATTGGCTACTCAGAAACTTAGTAGCTGGTGGTCATCGGGTTAAATGTAACCTTATTCTCAGCCTTCTCAATAAAGCATATAACAACTGTTCTAACTACCTCTCTTTTCATACCAAAATCACCACCTTGCATAACATTTTAATAAACAATGGCTACCCCATGCATTTTATTCAAGTCCTAACATGCAAGTTCCTTTTTCACAAATTTGAACCCCCCAAAAAACGTACACTGTTGATAAATAACCATTAAAATTCATCGTTCCTTTTTTGAGGTAAGCAAAGTTTCATATTGAAATCACAAATTTTAAGAATAATTAAAATGTTTTATCCACAAGTTCATCTACAAGTGATATTTAAATCACCATTCAAAATACAAAATCTGATTCAAAAATATGGTTGTTCTTTCCATAACTGTGGATAGTTACTTTCCTCACTATCTGTTTTTGAACTGTTACTTTTTGTGTTTTTCATTCTTGACTTTTTGTGGTAATTAAAGGTTATAACCTACATACAGTTATCTGATCTTTACAGAAAACTAGAGGTTTATTTACCTATATATGCAAGTGTAGTGACATGTTGCATGTGAAATGAAATACAACATAAAATTTAAACAAGAATGCAATAAAACTTTCTTGAAGTAGGAATAAAGGTGAAATATATATTAAAAGAACTAATAATATAAATGCATATTTAATTGGGATGTCAGTTATTTTTGAAAAAGAAATCAAAAGAACAGTAAATACATATGATCAACAGGCTGAAGAATGTACTGGATGAAAACAACTTCTATGGCAAGTCTTAACTCCTTCAGGATTAGAGTAGAATCTCCTCTACCAATGCTGAAACTGCATTCATAATACACACACTTTCCATATTTGATCAATCAAGAAATAAGACACCAGGATAGTTGCAAGGTCAAGCAGGTTACATTCAACTATACTATTCCATAAAACAGCATATGAGGTCCATGGCCGTTCAAGCTATAAAAAGTCACCTTGGAGTGACTTTTGCACATGACCTAAGCTGGATTTAGAACTTTGAAAAATATAAAAATTTTGTAGGTATGTAATATACATAGAAAGACACACACACACACACACACACACACACACACACACACACACACAATAATAGAGTAAGATATGAAATATTTGCATACTACAATTTTCTACCTCCATATCTTAAGCTTTTTCTCAAGCCAACACTAATGTGAACTTAACATCAATGAGAAAGTCACACTGCGACTTGGAGAAATGTTCTTAAAATCACAACTCTTGATTACGGAAGCATTATGGAATGGTATAACATTGTAATGCATGAGATGAACCATGAATACACAAGACATACAGTTGTATTGAATGTCTTCAATTAACTCGCACTTCTAGCTAAAATGAATAATGCATAACAAAGCAAAAGTAGAAACCCTTTGAAATTCAATAATA